AAATATTTTTTCATATGACTTGATCTTCATCAAATTTATACTTTTCTTGTTCAGTTTAGTATATGAATCAACACTTTTATCACTTTAACCGACTCCAATCTCATAAGTAAAGCTCTCTTCTTAATACACAAAAAAAAAAAAAAATTCAAATCATTAATAATCTACTAAGAAAAAAAGGATAAATTTTAAACAGATAAAGAGAAAAAAATTCATAAATTTTAAACAGATGAATTTATACTATTTTTTCGAAAGGACAACATCATATGTTTTATAAAAAATTCATAAAAAAAAAATAAAAAGACTAATACAAAAAATAATTCATGCAACAATGCACATATTTTAGATAAAAGAAAAAAGACAAAAAATAAAAACATAACATTATATTTAGTTGTAATATGAAATAGGAAACAAAAAGAAAAATAATAGCTCTTCATGTTAGCAAAATGAAATTAAAGAGATGAAGAGAAGAATATGATATATTGATGTAGAGAAAAGTGAGGGTTTATATATAAGTAGGTAAGAAGATGAAAGGGCATGGAGAAAAACTATTTAATATTTAATGCAATATTTTATTTTCTCATTTTTGAATATTTAAATAGCATTGCCTCTTCATCTCCCATCCTTGAGCTTTCATCCATCCTCATGTCTTTTTCTACATTTAAGTATCTTAAAAGCCTTAACTTTCTATCTTCTAACCTCTATAATATCCACTTTTCAAGTTTTAATTATTACTAATTAACATGCTACAAAACCCAAAAAAAAAAAGGGAAAATGGTCTTGCCTCTTCATCTACCAAAGCACAAACAAATCTTTTCAATATTAATAATTAATAATTAACATACTATTAATCTAAATTAGCTTTAGTTACGGTTGAAAAGTTAATTAACTTTGATTTGTTATTTGTATTATATAATTATCTAATAAGTAATAAATAAATCTATATTATATATTATTATTATAAATATAAATGCATACCTTATTTAATGCATAGGGTAGCATTTTATATATTGTTACGCCCCAAAACCAAGAGCGGAACAGACGCTGTGCACTCGTGAATGGGTCTCACAAATGCACAAAACTCGGAACCTACTATGTTCATAATTACCAATTTACATAACTTAAATCAAAGATAAATCAAAGAAACTTGGTTAATATTTAGCTTTCAATTACCAAAAATTTACTAGTCCAGATGTACAAAAGTTTATAAGACAATCATGGTTATAACCAAGGGAACTCAGTATACCAAAAAAAAAAAATGATTTATCATTTCACATCTATGACAAGCATGTGTGGCTAATGGCCTAAGTCTAAAAAGGATCGAAATCCAAAATATTGACTAGCCTTGTAGCTCGTCACTTCCCTTGGTTAACCGTACCTCGAGTCTCGCTTCCTTAAATGGTGGACAAAGAAAACTATGAGATAAAATATCTCAGTAAGTAAAAATATGGGTAGCCAATGAGTAAAATTTAAGCATGCCTGATAAACAATTTAACATAACAAAACATTCAATGATAAACCGTTAATGCAGAATAAAATTCA